TTCTTTAAAACTTTCAAAGCCAAGCGAATAACTACCACTGATCTATTAATCGGTATTGCTACAGCTTTCGAGGCAGTGCTTACCATTTTTTTCAGTGTAATGTTCTTCTTTTTCCTTGTTAATCCAGTGCCAATTTTTTTCTTTCCGTATACGGTCTTATTATTTTTTTGTCAAAACTATGTCTCATAGTTTCTGACTGCAATACCACAATACTGCAATTAAATTTGCTGTTTTGCGAAAAAGTGTACCTCAAAGATGCGCGAAAAGTAATCTTGTTGAACATGTAACTGCGGAGGATGTATATGATTATAATTTGAAGTTAATTTCTATTAATTTACTGATAAATGCAATGATGTCTTTTTTAACCTATAAATCAGCTGTAGATATGGAAACTAACATGAGTTGCCCATCCCTCAGTAATCATTCTAGTGATGATATGACATTTTGTGTATATTATCGCCAATGCAAATACAGCTCTTTGCCGGTGTGTGCATTACAAAATCCTAAAATTATTGACATGAATGCTAAACAAGAAGGAGAAGAATACGAGGTGGAGTCGCTGTTAATATGACTGTCCCCTGCATGACCGACGTCGCACCGATACCCCTAGCAGAGATTTCACGAAAGTTGATGAAATCGACTAATAACACGTTTTTTATAAAAAAATAATAAAAAGTAATTGGAGGGGCAAATAAATGATTGTTCCTCATAGATGGCAGCGGAGTTAGAACTGTCATAAAAAAAGAATTAAAATGGTTTAACTTGCTAACATAATATCCAAATAAATTTATAACCAAACTCCATTTAAAAAATCTATTTCCATATAACGCGACTAATCTAGAACAATTTCTAGAATAAATTTTTTAAATTACGCACCTGTAACCAAATTCCATTTATAAAATCGGATTTCAAGTTGCACGCCTAGCATTAAATGATTTTTAAAAAAATTTTATTTTCTAAATGCACACCAAACAGAAATGGTCAAATTTTTGAGAAAGTATCGAAAATAATCTATACTGTAACGGTCCTATCTATGAGCTATTTTCTTATTTCACTGAATGACTGCAACCCGCTAAACTCATCAACCTGTTTACATCAATTAGCATATCAAACGGTGCCACCTCACATATTATTTGATTGTCTTAGTACCAGAGTCAAATTTCATGACCATATAAGGAGTGTGACGTCACATACATATAGATATAGATATAATAGTTTTGTTATTTTATTAAAATATATTCATTGATAGTAATTGTGATGAAACAAAGCATTTTGTATATAGATTTTAGGGCATAGATTTAGATTATAATAATTTTAATTGCTTTTAATTACTAGATTATATTAAATCTCAATATGCAAAGTTAATTTGTTTATTACATTGTAAGTATTAATTATTAAAATAATGCGGATACTCTAAATTCATAATGAATATCTTAGAAACATGAGTAAAAATTGGTTTCATTGATTTTGATATCAGTTTAATTATTAATTATTAATGTTATCAATAAATAGATAATTAATATTTTATTTAAACATAAAGTTGTTGCAACGGTAGTCGATTCAATTAATCTATCCGTTCGCGATTCTGCTTCTTACGCGTTAGTTCGAACTATTAAGAGAGAGAGGGGGCGCGCGATCTTTTGAATAAGCAGTTACGCCTCAGCTATTCACGCGAGTTTACCACCGATTTGTGTTTTGCACGTTGTTTCGCCAATATAAAGTTTTCCTTGGGACAATTACGTGCGTGAGTGCAACGGTATTTCTGTGACAGTTAATAGCAGCAGTACAGACGTAGCATCAAAGTTATATTGAGGCAGATCGAGGCAGCGTAGCGGATAATTAGGAGGGCAGCGGCAGTTGATTTATCATCATCAACAATTACGGCTGATCAACGTAATTGCACCGCAGGGTAGGTGCACCTCCCTTCATTATCGCGTGACAAAATACATTTAGTATTTTGTCAATCGTAATAGCGATATTTATTTTTTGTATTCGCGCCGAGCGTTAGTTCGCGGTTAAAATTTGAATCTTCTCTCTCTCTCTCTTAGTCTTTCGGCCCAGCAAAGACTGTAGTTATTTTTTATTAATTAGAGTCAGTCAAATTTATTCGCCAATTACGTCATTTAATTTTCCCATTAGCTTAAGTAATTGTAAAAGGCTTAAGTTTTAATTCGATTACATCTAGGGAATTAAGCGGATTAGGCGTAAATTCGCCCACACCTAAGATTCATCGAGTGTCACAAGGCACATGAATTAAGGTGAGTTCAACTCTGTTCGATAGAAGACAATTAAGCGTACGAGGGTGGTCCGATAAGTACTTAGCCTCACCGCCCAAAGACGCCACTCTCGCAAAAGAAATATTCTATCACGTAGTACAACCTTATCGATGGTTACTATCAAGATTACAGCCGGATCGGAGTTATAGTTTATTTTTGAGAGCTTGTGAAAGCAAGTGTGTCCGTTGATTTTTGAATAATGGAAAAAGAGCAGTATCGATTGGTTATTCGATTCTTGTTTTGGAAGGGAAATCGCGCAGCGAAATCAAAAAGCGTTTGGATGCTGTGTACGGTGACTCTTCTCCTTCGATGGCAACCGTTAAAAATTGGTTTAACGAGTTTCAATGTGGTCGCACGTCGATTTTTGAAGAGCCACGTCCAGGTGCTCCGAAAACGGCTACCACGGAGGATAACGTGACAATAATTCACAATCACGTATTGGAAGATCGACGATTGAAGGTGCGCGAGATAGCTAAGATCGTAGCCATCTCAAAAGACCGCGTGGGTCATGTCCTGCATGAAATTTTGGGCATGAGAAAGCTGTCGGCGCGATGGGTGCCGCGTTCGTTCACTCCGGACAACAAGCGCTACCGTGAGACAACTTCAGAGCAATGTCTGACGCTGTTTAAGCGCAATCCGAAGGAGTTTCTGCGTCGTTTCGTGACAGTCGACGAAACATGGATCCACTGGTTTACACCAGAGACCAAGGAACAGTCGAAACAGTGGATTTTACCCGGCGAAAGTGCTCCGAAGAAGGCGAAGTGTGCGCGTATAAAACGGCTTCTTTTTTTGAAATTGATTATAAAAATGACAAATTAGAGCCAAATTTATCCCAAATGCTCTTTGTCAGGCTGACATTTTTCATTTCGTTAACTTTCAACCATGATCTTTCGCTACCACCGTTCGATTCCTACCTTAAATTTAATAAATTGGCGGTAGAGAAGCGAAAACTGCTACATAAGAACAGCAATAGTCGGAAACAAACATCAGTTTATATATATATAACATAACAAATGGATCCTGTGTGAATAATAGATTAAAAATTTTTCAAAATGAGAATGAATTGAGTTATTTTGCTCATAACATTTTTAGTTCAATTTGATTAACAATAATATTTTCAACAATATTTATATCTAAAAAATGTATTTATTGAATTCGGAAGTTCTGTAATTATATGCGAAGTTTCTGTGATGAAGTAAGAATTAATTTGATTGCCATAAAGTTTTTTTAAAAATGCAGTTATTCAACTATTAACTTTTGTGACGGTAAAAGTTTTATTAGCGCTGACAGCCCAACCATGCGGCTGCCTGCAGGGGCAGCATCTATCGGTTGGGGAAAGATGTGACGAGGGAATTCCGCACGAGACGAGACGGAACGCGCGCGTATGAAAATGAAGGAGTTGAAGAATAGAACCCAGACACTTAGCTGCTGCTAGTGACAAAAGAGAGTTTTCACCGAGTTTCCAGAGTGCTAAGATGAATTGATTAGAGCAGAGATAAGCTGTACCTTCGCCTGACGGAGACGAACGCGTGTGAGCGTGTGTGAGTGTGAGGTTTCGCCATCGAGGGCGAATCGAAAGCAAGAGCCGCTTGGTTACTTTAGCGGACTTCTCCGAGATTTGGTTGCGAACTTTTTCTTTCTCGTTCACCGTACGACTGCTAATAAGGTAAGCTGGCCAGCTCAATTTTGCGATTGCTATATAATTGCCGATAACTAATCTCTCGTACTGCATAAGAAGCGTGCATGTATTAACCCGGCGAACAAAGAGCGGCGAGTGATCCCACACTGCATGTTATTGTCGCGCGCGCGCTTTGGAAACGTAAACACACGGGCCGAATACATTGTAGAAATAAGAGATAATAAACGATCTCGCATGTGATCTTGACTGTAATTTCGATGTTATTATTTCACGACAGTAGAAAGTTGGTTGACTGACACCCGTTCCCTCCTGCTCTCCGGTTTTCGAATTTGAACGTGTAGGTAATCCCGCGCGCTTTTCGACGTGATCGCGCGCATAATTAAATAAGCGGATATCAACCCCGTTACACTTTCTGTAGTTGAAATAATCCAAGTTATTCAAATTCAAAAATTTAAATTTACATATATTTTCTATTTAATAAACATTTTTTTTAACTGTTCACAATATCATATTTAAAAATATTGATTCATCATTCCTATTCATATTTGTTTCATACCATGTCAAGGAAATCTAGAAAACGCAAACGTCGTGGAAATATTTCCCATGGTTATCCCCTACTAAAAATCTCGTTCGTCTATAAATACGGGAATAAAACGAAAGATATCGAAAAGCTACTTAAACAAAATGTTGCATAGACAAGCTTCAAATCTGCTCCAGTCACCTGATAACGATCTTACATTTATACAGTTAGCAGCTAAATTAGGAAATAAACAGAATGAACAAAACGATGAAGAAAGAAAAATGATAATGTAATCTGATACTAATTCCAACTTAATTAGACACATTATCAAAAGTGCATCTGCTTTTTCAATCGAAAATGATTACAGTGTTGACCACTGCAAGTGATTCTCGTAGGAGAAATTATAATATCTACCCTGCTTGTGGCATTGTTCTGCAAGAAATTAGTGCTTACCAAACAATATAAATAGTAGCTTGAGGAAAAAGAAGACTTTTTAATAGCAAGTGCGTGTTAGTTTTCAACATATGTTGAATAAATGTACAGAACGCTTATGTGAAAATCTTACCTTAGATTAGCCGGAATATCATTTGATGAATTTAACACTTACAGCAACGCTCGGTTTTGATAGCTCATCAGGACAGGGAAATCCTCATCAAAAATATAAATAGAATAGCAATGAAAATCTTAATCATACTCAGTCATTGTTCGTCACATCTATTATAATTATAGCTTTGTTTAATTCTTTACATTACATCCTTCAAGTTGTCAGATTATATCGATCACTCAGGATTGCTTTAGAAAAAGAAGATGATGTTGCCACAATTAAAAAGTATTAGAACAGATTAAAAGATTGAAAAAAAGTTAGTTTATGCACACAGAATTAAATTATCGAATGATTAAACGGTTAAACATAAATTAGATGTCTACGATACATTATGCGACGGTAAATGTTTAAATATCATTGTTGGTAATAAAGCCAGATCTCGATATCTGATGTTCAGCTTATTGTTAGCACCTGATTTTTAAGCTTCCAATGCTAATGAACCATTTGTGAAACATGGCTTAAGTCTACTTCAGTGCAAGATTAACTATTTTAAACATTTTCTGTAATTATCCTATCATAACTTTCCAAAATTCAATTCATTTTAGAATATAACCAAAGATAAAATAGGTAAAGTTTAATTAAATAGATGCATTAATAATATCGATATATAAAAAATTTTAAACGTAAAAGGAGTTAATTATGGTCTATTCTATAGAATAATTAAGTCTATTTTTTGTATTTCAGCTAACTTTGAGAAGCAAAAAACTATTGTTCGAAATAGTCTATACAAAAACTTTACTATTAGGATTGATTAGTTATTTCAAGATGATGGAACAACGATCACCGGAAATTTCGCACGACGATGTTTTGAACAATCAGAAGTTGCTGTGGAATAATCTAGTATGAGCTACCGATTAATAAAAAGAATCACTTGTATTACATTTCGTATTACCTTTATTCATAGATTAGTACGGCTCCTATCTCAGTAGCGTTAGTGTCTGTCTCCAGCACAAATTGTCCTTCGGGTTCCGGAAGCCCGAGTTAGGGTGCAAAAATCATTAGTGCCTAAATTTTGACGAAAGCTTGATGTTCTGAGTTCCATACATATTTGCTTTTGTATTTCTTGAGTTTAGTCAACCGCTGAGCGCACGTAGCGAAATCCTCTAAGAAGCAGCGGTACCACGAGATAATCCCTAGGAGTATCTGCAATTGTCAGATGCTTTCTGGTTGTGAATACTCTACAGTAGAGCGTACCATGTCGGGATCAGGCCTGATTCCATCTTAGTTAATCAATAGCCCGAAAAAGTACGATCTAGAAGTATTTCAGGTGATCTTCGAATCCAGATAATAGTATGATGATGTCGTCTAGATAAACGAAAGTCAACTCGCAAAGTTCGGGACCGATTAAGCTATCAACCGTTGAAAGGTGGCACCTTCATACGATAGATCAAAAGGTATTCGCACAAACTGGAAGAACCACAGCCCTAGCACGGTAAACGCGATGATAGTTCGAGGTTCAGGTTTAAGTCATATCTGGTGATACATGCTACTAAAGTCGAGCATCTATATATAGCAAGTGCTCCGTAACCATTATATATATCCTGTACGAATCCTATAAATATATCTTGTATGAATGATAAACGATGCGCGTTCGGTTTAGTGTCCTTATTGACTTTTTTTAAATCGTTACAAAACCGATATGCGCCATCCTTTTCACGAATCATAACCACGGAGTTTAACCAACCACTGTTGGCTGGCTCAATGAATCCTTAGTCTAACATCTTATTTAAGATCCTGTGCATCTCTCGCTCAACTTTGTGAGGTACTGAATAGTATTTGATCGGCTTATCATCGCCTACACATCATGTTCAATCCCTGAAATGCATCCAAGTCCCATGGGGGTTTGGGATAAAATTACCTCGATCGCCTTCTGAAATTTGATTATTTGTACTTTTGTTACTTAGGCCAATCCCATCATCGTTAACTTGGGCCCAATCGTCAAGCTGACCACCTTCAGATTCATTTTCGTCTGCGACTTCTTGAACAGCAGTACGAGGGTCGATTGAAAAGTCCGTGCAAAGTCAGAGAGATAGCGCTACTAGTACGTATCAAGGGTATTTTCAGTTAGTGGCATATCTTGGAAGAGCACACACCAAGTTTCAGCCAGTTCGGCCAATTACTTTGCGTTTTATATTCGTTTCAATCAAAGAAAGAGGTTGTAAAAAAATGGACGAAAAAGAATTTCATGTATTGATTAAACATTACTTTTTCAAAGGCAAAACGCCTCAGGAGATTAAACAGAAGCTTGGTAAACATTATGGTGATTGTGCACCGTCGATTAGAATGATTTATAAGTGGTTTCAAAATTTTCGGAGTGGCCATATGAGTACAAAAGAGGCTGAACGTTCTGGACCCTGTTGAGGTTACCATTTCAGAAATCGTTGATAAAATCCATGTTATGGTGATGGCTGACAGAAGAGTGAAGGTGCGTGAGATTAGCAATCTCACAGTACTAGCTGTAGGCATCTCGAGCGAACGGGTACATAATATTTTGTACCAACATTTGGACATGAAAAAGCTATCCGCTAGATGGGTGCCGCGATTGCTCACGATTGACCAAAAACGAGATCGTGTGAAGTGTTGCAAGAATGGTTTGCAGTTGCTCCAGCAAAATCCGCAAGACTTTAAGCGTCGTTTCATCACTGTAGATGAAACATGGATACATCACTACATTCCTGAGGCCAAAGAATAGTCTAAACAATGGGTTACCAAGGGGGAATTTGCTCCGAAAAAGGCGAAGAAATTCCTTCGGCCGGGAAGGTTATGGCGACTGTATTTTGGGATTCGCAAGAAATAGTCTTTATCCACTATGTGGAAAAGGGTAAAACCATTACAAGCGAATATTATTCATCGTTATTGGATCATTTGAAAACCCAGTTGCTAGAGAAATGTCCACGATTGGCCCACAAAAAAGTCCTCTTCCACCACGACAATGCGCCAGCTCACGCCTCAGTAGTTGTGGCCGCAAAACTGATGGAGATAGGGTTCCAACTCGTTCCACATCCCCCTATTCTCCAGACTTGGCTCCGTCGGACTACTATTTGTTCCCTAATATGAAAAAATGGCTGGCGGGGAAAAGATTTTATTCAAATGAGGAGGTGATTGCAGAAACGAATGCCTATTTTACAGACTTGGACAAATCCTATTATTTGGAAGGGATTAACAAATTAGCGCAGCATTGGATGAAGTGTATAAGCCTAAAAGGAGAATATGTTGAAAAATAAAAAAGATTTATTAAAAAAAATCAAGCAGTTTTTATTTTTGCACGGACTTTTCAAACGACCCTCGTATGTGGTCATGAGGATCTAATATCCTTCTGAACTACTTTATAAAATTACTCCTAAAATAAATTCCTCGACAGGATTTAGTAGTATGGCCGCTATCATCGGCATTACCATGCCGTCCACAGTGATTGACAACATAAAATGGCCGACAATCGGCAAATTTCGGCCGTCTCGTAAACCAGCTGTACCTGCGAGGATTATATTCATTGTTATATTTAACGCTGAAGCTATCTAAAGAGCATTATTTTCTATCATTGTAGTTGAGGCCTCCTTTCCTATTTGTACAGGTATCCATCAATGTGTTTCCTACTCTAGGAAATACCCTGTGACCAATTTTTGAAGTTTCATTGGTTTGCTCGTAATGTACTGTAGCGCTTGCTATCACGTTTTCATGGGGTGGTCTGCCGACGTCATCGAGTGGTATCGACTCGCTCGTCGTTATCGGAGGTCATTCGGTAATCCTGGTTGACGGAATACATGAACTTTCCCCTCTCCGTTATTACATTACTAACATGTTCATTGCAGGCACTAAAAGAGTGATCGTTACTCCTATTGCTCAACCTATTTGTCACCATCAGTATATTTTTTAGTAAAAAGGATGCGTGAGCCACACAACGAGCAATCGCCGAGTCATTAACCGTTTACCATAAAGAACGGAGGAGTGGGGTCAATTCTATCTATCATTTCATTGGAGACAGTACCTTTTACTGAAACCCAGTAATTCACACTCGATACATTTGAGTGACTTAATGAAATCTCTTTCACTCTTGTGGAGATCTTGTAGAGGAAGCTTTATCTCTTAGATCGATTTTCGAGGGTTGATCTTCGTTTACCAAAGTTCGATTTCGTGCTCTCTGCAATCACCTTGAGAGATAGTAAACCGTTACATCAGGATCATTAAATCAGGTTTTATTTTTTTTTATCCTCCACAATCGCTGCTAGGGTTACACTCGTGGTTTAGTCCACTTGTGTCGGCGTATACACTATCTGGTGCGTTACTTTTTATAACACTTTTTCCATTATGAGGGCGATATGCTAGCTCTAGTCACAATGTAGATTAAGGATCTGTTATCGAGCATTCTACTTTTTTCTGATTAAAACTGTTTTACGCCGCGATAACTAAATTAATTAGCAGCTTTTCTGATTCGGGTCGCAAATCGGCAAAGGTCTATATCCAAGACCTCAAACTATACGAGGTGTGTTCAAAAAATAACGAGAATTTTCGTTTTATGAAAAAGATATTTATTTATTCATCTACATTAATGTTGTCGCCTTTAAAGTAGTCCCCTTCGGATACAATACACTTATGCCAACGCTTTTTCCAATCCTCGAAACACTTTTGAAACTCGATCTTTGTAATAGCTTTTAGCTCTTTCAGCGATTCGCTTTTAATGTCATCTATGCTTGTAAAACGACGGCCTTTTAATGTTCTCTTTATTTTTGGAAATAGAAAAAAGTCACATGGAGCCATATCTGGCGAATATGGAGGCTGAGGCATCGTTACAGTTTCGTTTTTGGCCAAAAATTCACGAACAAGCAATGAAGTGTGTGCAGGCGCATTATCGTGGTGCAAAAGCCATGAATTGTTTTGCCACAAATCCGGGCGTTTTTTTCGGATTGCTTCACGCAAACGACGTTGAACTTGTAGGTAGTACTGCTTATTGATTGTTTGACCTTGTGGCAAGAATTCATAATGCACTATGCCATTAAAATCGAAGAACACAGTGAGCATAACCTTCACATTCGACCGCACTTGTCGAGCCTTTTTCGGTCTTGGCGATCCAGAATGCCTCCACTGGGACGATTGAGCCTTACTTTCGACATCATATCCGTAAACCCATGTTTCGTCACCTGTTATAACACGTTTTAGTAGTTCTGCATCGTTATTGACTTCATTTAGCGAC